CCTTCTGGCACAACCCCCGCAACCACTTCCGCTGCCAAGTCCAGTTCTACGGGCTCGACGAAAAAGACAACTGGACCCTGCCTTGGGACAAACCCCTCACCCAGAACATCAGTGCTGAGGCCCAGGGCAGAGCAGGTGAGCAGGGTCTGGGCAGATGGGGTCAGGCCAGCCCCCGGGGAAATGGGAAGATCCAGGCAGAAGACAAGACCAGGTGCAGAGAAAAGTCAGAGTGATGGGATGGGGGGTCAAGGCCCACAGTGTCAGCAGCCCAGTGTGCAATTCCTCCCTGTGGGGCACGGGCCCGGGGGCCTCTGAGATGTGCTGCCAGGTCCCCTGAGGATGACAGAACAGCCCAGCACCTGAGTGGTGTGCCTCCCACCCCTTCAGGGGTCCTGGTTTTCCTAAGATCATAATGACTACGGCCTTGACACTGGGGCCACACGGACAGTACCAGGGCCACCACCGACTGTCCCATGTGACTCTCATATGTTTGTGGCCTGAGTGTATGACTTTAAAGTTTATGATTGAAGGCTCAGTGTCCTCGAGAAGTGCCATTCTTCAACCATTTGTCTCCCTCTTTTCTCTTGCAGACTGTGGCTTCACCTCGGGTGAGTGAGCCTGTCCGTTTTCTCTCTGTGCTGTTTGGTCTGGAGCCAGGGCCTGGAGAACCCAGGGGCACGGGGCTGGGGAGGCCAAAGCTACCTACATACACATTCCTACCTGTTCTCCCTTCCTGCCTACAGTGTCCTATCAGCAAGGGGTCCTGTCTGCCACCATCCTCTATGAGATCCTGCTGGGGAAGGCCACCGTGTATGCTGTGCTGGTCAGCGCCCTGGTGCTCATGGCCATGGTAGGAGCAGGACATGAGTGGGCAGGTAGAGCAGAGGTAACATGTGACACTCAGAAATTCATAGCTTGGAATCAAGAGACCTTGGTAGGGTGTGAGGTGGGCTGTAGAGACAGAAAGGTTTCATTCAGACACGTTGGAAGACAACTTGCATCTCTGTGCCATCCTAGTGGGAGGTCCCAATGTGTCAGGGGCCTGCTTGTCCACTCAATGGGCCCTCCTGTTCCCTCTCAGTCCTCACCACTCCTGGCTCTTGGTAACCCCAAAACCTTTCTCTTATGTAGGTCAAAAGAAAGGATTCCTGAAGCCAGCTCTGGAAGCAGAAGCAGGAGCTTCCAACCCATTTCAGCATCAATATGCATTTGCCTTCGCCAGTGCTTCTGAAGAGCTGCTGTCACCTTTCCAAGCATCCTAGTATCTACCCCCTCACCCACTGTGCATGCTCACTGTCACGCTCACGGCTGAGATCCTCCCAACCTAGAGGGACCCCTGGCATGACTAAGTGACTGAACTAATAAAAGTATCCTGACCTGGCCTGACTCTGACTTGGGAGTGTCTAGTTACCTCTTCTTCCCATCTCTGAACTCCCTACAACTCTGTCCATTCAGTCAGGGTAGAAATAAGAGCCATTCTAGAGGAGTGCAAACCTCTCATGTAAGAGGAGAGTCAGGGAGTGTAAAAATGTCTCCTTATCACTCCTGGAAGGATAGAAACAAAGTTTTCTAAACCCCAAAGTCAGTTCTATTTCTACTTCCAGAAGTCTCTCCAGTGTCCCACCGTCACCGTGGTGAAATAGTCCCCAATTCTAAAAATAGTATACAGGCCCCTATAGATTTCCCGACATCCTTCTTCCTCACTCGTACCTCTCCTCTCCTCTCCGCCCCCCAGGCTGCTTATTTCAGGACATTTGCTCACCTCCTCCTCCCCCGGGGATGATGGAGAACTCCTGGGTAACCCTTACTGAGTCTTAAAGATTTGGCTACAATAGCTTCCAGGCCAAACAGCCTTCTGCAGAACTTTGTTACCCTTTCCTTACTTCTCACTCCCCTGAGACTGAATTAAACACACTCTTTTGCTCTCATAGGGACATTTATCACACGTGATGAAAATGACCTCCTTACTTGTCTGACAACCCCATTTGACTGTAAGCTCCTTAGTAACAAGAATGTGTTTTGGCTCGGCGCCTATAGCTCAACCGGCTAAAGCGCCAGCCACGTACACCTAAGGTGGCGGGTTCGAATCCCCAGCCCGGACCCGCCAAACAACAATGATGGCTGCAACCAAAAAATAGCCGGGCGTTGTGGCGGGCGCCTGTGGTCCCAGCTACTTGAGAGGCGGAGGCAGGAGACTCGCTTGAGCCCAGGAGCTGGAGGTTGCTGTGAGCTGTAATGCCATGGCACTCTACCCAGGGGGACAGCTTGAGGCTCTGTCTCAAAAAAAAAAAAAAATAGAATGTGTTTTATGATAGTATCCTTGGGCTGCAGCATAGCACCTGGGTTCAGGGTAGACACTCAGTAGCCAAATTTGAATAAAAGAATGAATAAATGAGTGAGCCTGAAGTGACCCACATCAGGAGCAATCATCACCATAAGGCCTGCCTGAAACAGTCATTACCTTTCTGTTTATAGAACTACACCTCACAGCTTTTGTCTCTATTGACACGCATTCAAAGATGTGTGTGCATGCATTTACACATGTGTGCATGCTTTTACACATGTGTGCATGCATTCACCAACTCTTTGAACACATCATTGCAATGTGTTACTACTGAACTCCAAGAAAATGAAGATACCCAGATGAGAGTCCTCTATATGCTTATCTGTTCACAAAAAGAATTAATTATGAGTAGAAAGAGCTGAACTAGAAGGTGTTGCTTTGAAGTAGCAATGTGAACTGTCTACTAAAAGTGCAGTCAGAGGCCAGTTTTAATTTCTGACTGGGATAATCAGAGGAGAGTCTGGGAAGGTGGAAAACTCTTTGAAAGAGAAATTGGTCTCAGTTGTCCACTTAGAGAAGGGCCACGCCAATCAGAGGCATAAACCAAAACCCAAATATCATGGCCAGCTACTTCTGGATACATCTGTTTAGATAACTGCAAGGTTCAGAGATAGTAGTAATCAGAATTAAGGCTGAAAAGGCAGTTTGGTGCATGCTGCTCTGAGGATGGACTTTCTCCTTCAACCAGTATAGAGCCTAGCATGTAGAAGGTGGTAGCACGTAGTGAGTGTTCAGTGATTACTTGTGGAATGAATGCGTGAGAAGGTGTTTGGCCTTTATTTGGGAAGCAATGGAGAATCACAGAGGCTTCTGGACTGCTTATCCAGATGCCATAAGGTGCCCTCTCCTTCTCTCCGCTGTCTGACTGCCTTCCAGACCTGGCTCCTCCCACCCACCTCACTATACATGCCAGTTTAGGCAGGTGGGCACAAATCACCCCAGAGGGGGAAACCCAGTGACATAGCTGGTCTCCTCAAAGTGGTGCGTGTTCCCAGAAGGGGCCTCTCTGCTCCCCAAAACCACTAGCACTGATACCTTCCCCAAGCTCCTCCCCTCCTCAATTTTACCCCGAGTTTGTCTTTTCCACGGCTCACTCAGTCAGACTAACCTCTGCCACCTGGGCTTCCTGCCTCTGCTCAGTAGTTGGGGGAGGGGACAAGCTGGGAGGAAACTTTTTGTATCACAGTGTCACATCGTGGGGGCTGGGGGGACACGATGATCCAGGTAGTGGAAGTGCTTTTACAAAAAGCCCTATCTTAAAAAATATCCCCACCCATCCCAGGGAACGCAGCTACCCAGTGGGCAGAGGTTTCTGGAACTGTTTCCTGCTGGGGTCTTGCAGAAGGCTGGAACCAGAGAGCCCCTGTGCAACTGCTTCTCAGAAATGCCAAGGCCAAGGCAGCAAAGTGGGATCATCATCCAGCCCTTTCCATAAACCTTGCCCTTGACAAAGTATTTTGCACATGCATTATTTATTAAGAACCATAAAAACCCTGAGGGAAAGATATTACTCTATTTCTCTGGGTGAAGAAACTTGAGGTCAGAGAGGTTACAAGTTATCTAAGTAGTAAGAGGAGGGGTCTAGCCTGCAACACTTCCCAACTGCACTGACCCACCACCTCCAATACCCCTTCAGATTTCAAATCCACTATATTGTCCCTTAAGCCAAGTTGTTTTCCTCTAAGTCCTCAGGCACTGCCCAGGTTACTGTGTGCCGCTAATTCTCTTGGTGGGAAGAGAAAAAGCTCAGGAAGAAGAGGGAGGGTTGTGCCCTCAGTGTCTGTTAGGGGAGTGGGGAATGAGCTGGAACTCTGGACAGCGCCTTCCCACTGTGGTCTTATGCGGAGCAGCACTTCGGGCCAGGGACCCGGCTCACCGTGCTAGGTAAGAAGGAGCTCCAGGTAGGAGAGGGTGGGGGCTGCTCAGCCAGGACCACCGCTGAATCCTGGCCTTATTGGAGGTGGGCTCGGCCAGCAGGGGACTTTGTCCCAGAAGGCAGGGTTTGTGCGGGGGTCCCCAGGGCTGTGTGAACACCGGGCAGCTGTTCTTTGGGGACGGCTCCAAGCTGACTGTGCTGGGTAAGGAGGAAGCTGGGGGGTCCGGGAGGGATGGAGGGGGCCAGGCAGTTGCCCCACTCAGCTCGGGCTTGCTGAGGCGCTGTCCAGAGGCTGCCCAGAGACTATGGCTTCTGGGCACTGGGAGGGCGAAGGTGGTGGGGACCAGGCTGAGACTGGGAAACAGTAGCGGGCAGCGTCGGTTTTTGTCCTGGGCTTCCAGGCTGTGAGCACAGATACTCTGTATTTCGGCCCAGGCACCCGGCTGACGGTGCTCGGTAAGTGGGGTCCCGGGATCCCCAGGAAACCAAGGAGTAGGGATGGGGCGCTCTGAGATGCGGGAGGCGGTGGGGCCCGTTTTTGTGCAGCGCCCCGGGGCTGTGAGCCAAAACACTCAGTACTTCGGCGCGGGCACCCGGCTGTCGGTGCTAGGTGAGCGGGGGGCCGCGGGACACAGGGCGCAGGACCGCGGCGCGGGTTTTTGAGCGGGGCTCGGGGGCTGTGACCAACAGACCCAGTACTTCGGGCCTGGCACGCGGCTCCTGGTGCTAGGTGAGCGCGGGGCGCGCCACGGCGGGCTGGCGGCTCGGGGTGGGTTTTTGTGGGGAGTCCGCCAGCCGTGCTCCGGGGCTGCGGCCCAGACCTTCGGGGCGGGCAGCCGGCTGACGGTGCTGGGTGAGTGCCCGCGGGACCCGCAGCCGGGCGGCGCGGACCGGGTGGAAGGCGGCGGTTCCGGTTTCGCGGCACTGGGTCCCCTGAGATGGCCTAGAGTTCGGGACGGGCTGGGCACCTGGGGCTGGGATAGCTCGGGCGCTGCGAGAGTTTGTGTGTGGGTCTCAGGCTCCGTGCTCCTATGAGCAGCACTTCGGGCCGGGATCCAGGCTCACGGTCATAGGTGAGATTCGGGGGTCTCCCCATCATCCAGCCGCTGGGTCCCCTGGGGGGTCGGGTGTTCCGGAGCCGCCGGCGGTTGGCGATCTGGGGGGTTCACAACTTCACCTTCCCGCCCCTCCCCCGCTTTGCGGAGGATTGGGGAGGGAAGGCGCCCGGGCTGAGATATCTGCAGAGGTGAGGCCGCTTTCTGAGGTGTTTAGGAACAGGGCGAGAGGATTTGTTTAGGAGTCTGGGAGCCCATAGATTGGAGAAAAAGACAGAGGGAAAAATCTGCTTTTGGACTGGGTAGGAAGGGGGCTGTAACTTTAGGCAGAGGCCAAAACAGTCAGGAGGGCCGGGAAGACCCTTCACCAGGCACCACCAGGACCTCAGGAGCCGCCGGGCGGGTGTAGGGGCAGAAATCGCCCAGGGGAGGCTGGGAGGGTGCCGCTGAACGGAAAGAAAAGGCCGCCAAACAAGCAAGAAGAGAGTCCACAAAGATGAATAAGCATGAGTCAGTAAAGAAAAGAATCCCAGTCGCAGCTCAGCGGTATGGATTTATGAGATTTTAAGCCCCTGCTCCTTGTTCCTTTTCCTTCTGAGCCTGTAATCCCGGGGGCAGTGGTCCAGGCACAGCACTGACGCCTGCCTGTGGGCTGGTCAGCAAAGAGGTGCTGGCCTGAGAACAGGGGACAGAACTTTAGCCACTGGGGTCCACTTACCCCTAGATGCGTCCCCTACTCCCCTAGTCTGCAATCTCCCTCTTCATAGTAAGTCTCCTAGGTTATCCAGGCCAGATGGTGCAGAGAGTTTATTTAAATGCAGGTATTTTGCCTGTGAGGAAAATTACAGGGGAGATCTTAGGATCTTAGCACTGGAAAGGGACCCTAAGCATCACACACCATAAGAGCCTTGAGGCCAGAAAAGAGAAATAACTCACAATAATGTATATTAACCTGGATTCTTTGATAACAGCAACCATACAATGATGGGCCCCATTTGATATTAGCCTGTCAGTAAGCTGGGTGCAGTGGGCCTACCTCAGTTCTGCAGGGAAGTGCGCCCCCAGGAAATGCTGGGTCTGATGGTCAGCTGGGCTGAGTAAAATACAAACTTAGAACCAGATAAAGGCAGGGTTCCTTAGTGATCAAGTGACCTTGGGCAAATCCGTGTGTGAGCCTCAGTTTTTCTCAACTACAAAATATAATTAACAATACCTAATACTAACTATTACTATGAAGAATAAAAAAGAAGCTGTGAGTAGAGCACCAGACTGTTGTAATACAGTGCTTCTCTCTCCCACCTCCCTCTAGGAGGTTACTGGGAAGGGGTTGGAGGTGCAGCCCAGTGCCAAAGCAGGGCAGGATTTGGATTGTGGGAATGGAGTGAAAGGTGGGTTGGAGAAAGGAAAGATGATCTTCACAATTAGAGGCTAGTCTACCTCACTAACAGAACACAGGCAAACAGCAGCTCTCTAGTACATACCCCAGACACACACCCCTCAGGGAGTCATGAACAAGGATAGTGGACCCTGGCCTTACCACGGAGTCATGCAGTTGGTATAGTACAGTGAGGGTCTGGTTGTGTTTATCATGCCTGTTGCATCCACAAATACCCTACAGAACAGCATACATAGTCAACAGACATCTTGAACTTTTATAATAGGGACTGATATTTGCTAAGTGAGATCAAAGGAGCCCATTCCCCAGTGCCCTGGGAAGGCAGCAAGAATCCCAGAGGAAGGATCTCAGAGATGACAGTGAAAGTGACAGGCTGATGGAGTCAGCACTGCTCCCAGAAGTTCCTATGTCACTATTTCAGCACGGACCTAGAAGCATAGTGGAATTAGCAAGGCAGGAACTAGGGGTAGGGAAAGCTGACAGGACTGGAGGCAGGACCAGCTACAAAATTTTCAGGCACAGCTCAAAATGAAAATGTGTGTTGTTTGAAACATAATTCAGAGTTTCAAAATGGTAACAGCAGAGCATTCAGCCAAGTTCGGGGCTCTTATAAATATGCGGTCCTCTGGGGCTGCTCAGGGGACATCCCAAGAAAGCCAGTCCTGGGAAGAGGTGACTTCCATAGAAATGTGAAAGAATAAGTGTCAGAACAAAATTTTCCTCCGTAATCCAGGAGACTAGGACCAGGTTTTCATAAGGATAACATTTGTTCCTTTTAACAGGATTGCTCAGAAAAACCAATCAATGGAAAGGAAAGAATGAATGGAAGGCAGGCATAGAAAAAATGAGTCAGCCAAATGAGAAGGGTACCTGGGGACTCAAAGGGATGTGTTCAACTATTACCTCTAAGATTCTACAAAGGAGAGGCTTAGGGGAAAAGTCACATCAACACAATCAGTAGCAAGAAGTCGCTCAGATGATCTCAGATGCTTATTAAGGAAACTTGCTAGTAGGAAAAAGTATAATATTTGGAAGCAAAGGCACAAAGGTGGTTGAAGAACCCCTGAGTTTGAAAAAAAGGGAAGGGATTGTCTATGTGAGCTGAGGAAACTCAGGTGTACCTGGGGGGAAAGGAAGGATAGGATGACTTCAAGTACCACAAAGTCAGAAAACCTGACATTCTCAGGAACACACTGTAAAAACAAGAGGATGTCCTCACAGAAATGCACAAAAACAGGCCATCTGTAGATTGTCAGCTGAAGAAAGCCCCCAGCCTTGAAATGTCTCCTTCATCCCTGAGCACTTTCCATTCAGACACAAAGACCTGACCCTGACACAGGACCTGGCCTTCTGAGCCCTTGCCTCATTTAGTCTTCACACCCTTTCTGGAAAGCGAGTGTGGTGATTTTCACTCCACAAGCAAAGAAAATGAGGTGGAGAAATGGCTGTCCTGAAGTCACCATTGGTGGGCAAAGACAATTGTAGGATTTGGGTGCCTTTATTCTGATTCCAAAAGTGCTCCATTTAAATTAGTACTATATGAAATGGTGAGAAGTCAGTGAGCACGTTCATCAATGGAGAAGAAATCAAATGACAGAAATGAGGAGATGCTACTCAGAATGTTGGGTGTGCTGCTCATAATGCCACCTTTGTGGGACGGGCCAGGAGAGACAGTGAGTGGGGCCTGTGTGCAGGGTCAATGCAAAGGACAGGAAAGGAGGGAGACCAAAAAAGAATGGGACAGTGTTTCCAAAGTAATCAGGACCCACTGGGACCTAACTGTGTTTCACTGTGACCTTTCCAGCCCTTTCTCATACACACAGAACCCCTGCCAGGCCTGGACACTGTCACCCAGCCCTGGTCACAACCCCTCTTCACTTTCAGACAACCTGAACAAGGTGACCCTACCCAAGGTGGCTGTCTTTGAACCCTCGGAAGCAGAGATCGCCCGGACCCAAAAGGCCACGCTCGTGTGCCTGGCCACAGGCTTCTACCCTGACCATGTGGAGCTGAGCTGGTGGGTGAACGGGAAGGAGGTACAGAGTGGGGTCAGCACAGACCCTCAGCCCTACAAGGAGAACCCCAAGGACAGTGACTCCAAGTACTGCCTGAGCAGCCGCCTGAGGGTCTCGGCCGCCTTCTGGCACAACCCCCGCAACCACTTCCGCTGCCAAGTCCAGTTCTACGGGCTCGACGAAAAAGACAACTGGACCCTGCCTTGGGACAAACCCCTCACCCAGAACATCAGTGCTGAGGCCCAGGGCAGAGCAGGTGAGCAGGGTCTGGGCAGATGGGGTCAGGCCAGCCCCCGGGGAAATGGGAAGATCCAGGCAGAAGACAAGACCAGGTGCAGAGAAAAGTCAGAGTGATGGGATGGGGGGTCAAGGCCCACAGTGTCAGCAGCCCAGTGTGCAATTCCTCCCTGTGGGGCACGGGCCCGGGGGCCTCCGAGCTGTGCTGCCAGGTCCCCTGAGGATGACAGGACAGCCCAGCACCTGAGTGGTGTGCCTCCCACCCCTTCAGGGGTCCTGGTTTTCCTAAGATCATAATGACTACAGCCTTGACACTGGAGCCACATGGACAGCACCAGGGCCACCACAGATGGCTGACTGTCCCATGTGACTCTCATATGTTTGTGGCCTGAGTGTATGACTTTAAAGTTTATGATTGAAGGCTCAGTGTCCTCGAGAAGTGCCATTCTTCAACCATTTGTCTCCCTCTTTTCTCTTGCAGACTGTGGCTTCACCTCGGGTGAGTGAGCCTGTCCGTTTTCTCTCTGTGCTGTTTGGTCTGGAGCCAGGGCCTGGAGAACCCAGGGGCATGGGGCTGAGGAGGCCAAAGCTACCTACATACACATTCCTACCTGTTCTCCCTTCCTGCCTACAGTGTCCTATCAACAAGGGGTCCTATCTGCCACCATCCTCTATGAGATCCTGCTGGGGAAGGCCACCGTGTATGCTGTGCTGGTCAGCGCCCTGGTGCTCATGGCCATGGTAGGAGCAGAGGGAGAGGGAACAAGCAGTGTGGGTGGATGTAGAACATCGTATATGGGACCTAAGAGAATTCCAGAGCCAGACCCTATGTTCTGTCCTATCAAGAAACCATGGTGGCCTGCCCAGCTGGGATAAAAGGCAGTGGGAAGGGTGACACACATCCTGGGGGGATGGGGAGACCCAGCGAGCCCCACCCAGACCTGGCCCCAGAGCCTACTGCTCTGTGATCCCTGAGACCCTGACTGTATCCTATCTTCCTCAGGTCAAGAGAAAGGACTTCTGAGGCCAGCTGCAAAAGTGCATCCTGAGTCATTCTTCATCCTCAGCCAGATTGTCCAGTACCTGCTCCCAACTGTGTCCCTAAAGAGTTACTCTCTTTCTACCATCTCCTTCCAACATGAATATCCCATATCTGTCTCTTCTTTCTGTTTCCCCTGCTGACTGAGATCCAAGCCCCAAAGTCTGTAATCAACTTAGCCAATAAATATGGCCTGCTGGGCCTGGTTGTTTCCAGAGTGTCTGTGGAGTTCTGCCCACCTGGGGAAAGGGCCACCTCCTCAGAGTAAGAACTGATCAGCCCAGTTCCTCTCTGCCCAATGCTGCTATCTCCTGCCCATCATGACAGATGTCCCCAAACCCCATGTCTGTACCCAGGCATGTTGGGTTCTCATGAAGGGTCAGCCTAAAGGGCAGTGCTGGGTTTTAAAACCCAGCATAAGGAGAACAGAGAGAGGAGCACAGGGATCCATAACCCCTGCCCAGTGCAGCACAGACCTACAGGTTCTGACATCTGGTCACTTCTCAAGTCCAGATTTCAGCTGTCATTTGTTATGTCTTTAGGTTTTATTGGTGTCTCATCTGAACACTTCCAGTTTATCTCATTTCAGGATTTGGGCTTGATATGTAGCACTACTCCACATGTCCAGGTTGGAACAGTAAGGCACAAGGCTCAAGTGTGAAGCCCGAGGACAAGTGATTTTCCAGGAGCAGGGCACACAGGGCCTGGCCCTGGGGAAGCCAGGGGAGCATGGCTCCGAGGAGGCTGAGGTGCTGCGTGCAGGGAGGCTTTTCCAATGGCCTCTTCCCCTGGAGGGTGGAGACCGCGCCACCTCAAATGTGGTTGGAGTTCACTGCAGTAGAGACTGTGCTGGGGAGAGGGATGGGACTGGGGGAGAAGGATGGGTTGGGGAAGAGGAGGCAGGGAACAGTGAATAAGGTGGAGCCAGATGAAATCTGAAAGCAGAGGTGGGTGGAAAGGTGAAGGCACGCCCTGTGGAGCACCCACTGGCCGCAGGCCTCAGGCTGTATGCTGGCATGGGCATTGTCCCACTTCCTCCCCCTGATGACCTTGGAAGCAGCTGTTATTTTCCCTGTTTCGTAAGTGTAGGGACTGCTGTTCATAGACCAGGTGACTTGCGGGCAGTGAAACTGCGGCCTGTCCTTCCATGTCACTGGAAGACAGCAGTGCTGGAAGCCTTTCCCAAGTAGTGACCAGCATGGTGTGATTGCCTAAGAAATCAGTGTGACCCCAGAGCAGCTGCTCGTACAGTCTAGGGCAGAACCCGCAGTGACACACCCAACACACGGTGATGTCCCTCTCTGTGTCAGCTTTTAAGGCTGCAGTAACAAAGTGCACAGCAAAGTGCTGCTAGGTGGTTTAAAACAAGATAAATGTATCCTTCTCCAGTTCTGAGGTCAGACGTGCAAAAGCCAGGTGTCAGCGGAACCACGCTCTGTGACAGAGCTAGGGGATGGCTCTTTCTTCCTTTCATTTCTGAAGGCTCCTGGCACCCCTGGGCCTGGGGCAGCATCATGCTAATCACCGCCTCTGTCTTCACAGGACATTTTCTCCTGGGCCTTCACATCTGAATTCTCCTCTCTTTTCTCTTATCAAGACATGAGTCCAAATAAGGTCACATTCAGAGCTTCTGAGCAGGCATGAATTTAGGGGATAGGAGTCTCTATTCATCTCACTATATTGGGTGTCCAGGAACTGGAGAGGAGGGTTCTTTTCAGGCAGCTCACACAGAACAGGAAGGGGGAACTCCATGGTAGGGATGATATAGGAGGGTCATTGAGTGCCCTTAACTTCCATCAGTCATAACTACCTTTAGGCTTCTCAAGCCTCAGAGTGGCTTTTACTGGCTGCAATTGTCGCTGCTTCTGTGTTGGTTAGTTTTCATAATGGCCAAAACAGACAAAGGAGACGGGCTTTATGCACTAGACCAGCATTCACAAATGTTGCCCCCATTCCTCAGACCTGTGTGAGGGCAGCAGACACACCTGTGTCTCCCTCACAAGGGTGGTACAGAAGGGTGCGTCACTGAGGGCACAGATGCTGTGGAGAGAGTGGGTGTTGGGGGACGAAGGGGTGCAAACTGGGACTGGGGTTGGGGACGGTCTGTGTGAGAAGAACTGGGAGGGGCTGAGCAGGTGTAAGGCAAGGTGAGGGTGGCAGTGGGGAGAGGGTGATGCCTTATAAAAGAGGAAAGGGGTCTGCAGATTTGGGGGCCCAGAGTCATTAACAGGTGGGAGAAGCTATGGCCCGGTACCCTGAGTCCACACACTGACCAAAGCAAGGAATGAAGGCTCCCATCTGGAGCATTATAGGCCAGTCCCCTCTCAGCCCAGGGGACTTTATAGGGATGGCGAGAGCCCCACATTCCATCTGGTCTCCTCCCAGAACTGTATGTACCTCCTCTTCTTAAGTCCTTACAGCCATTTTCTCATCTCTCCTAAACAAACACCACCTGCCCTAAACATTCAACTCTCTGCAGTCTCACTCCACTGGATCTTGACTGGACTTTGGAATAATAGACATTCCGTGTGGTAAAGAAGTTTAATGGTAGAGTCTTGATTCCCTTCCAGTTACGCTACAGTTGTCCTGGGAAGGAAACACTCATTCTGAGTAAGATGGTTGTCACTGGACACCTTATTTAAGCACCCACAAAGCTCACTCCAGCACTCCTCGTTCCCGTTCATAAGACAGCCAGGTGCTCACCTTCAGGCAGGAATTTATATGCCTATGAGAGAGAAAAATTAAAACCTTTAAAAGCTCGAGTTTGCTGAATGAAAAAAAAACACATAGTAGGTAGATTAAAATATTGTCATAGCAAAGGATATGAACTTCAAAGCAAAAAAAGACTTGGGTTTAAGCCTTAGTTCTGCCTTTTTCAACCATGTGACCTCAGGCAAGTGACCACCTCTGGGACTCAGCTTTCCTTTCTGCAAAATGGGTTCAACTTCATAAAGTGGTTTTACCCTATTAAACCCACACAAAAGGTAAAGCCCTTAGCACAATGTTAATAAACATTAGATGTTATATTTAGTTCTTGCCACTGTATTCTCAAATAGCAGTTTTGAGCACTTCCTATTCTCCCAAGCCAGGTCCATCTCTTCTGAAAACATTTAAGTTTGTTTTTATCCTTTCATCCTTCTAAACGTGTGTTGTTCAGAACCAGATACAGCGCCAGGTGGGTTCTGCGCTACCTAGGGTAAAGAGGCAGCTCCATGTCCTTGTGCTCAGAGTCTTATACTTTGGCTCCAGCAGGACAATTTTCAACTTTTTTCACCCACATCACCCCATTGACGCAAAGCTTACTTTGGACTCAAACCCTGGGAGTTTTTCACATATAGTTCTGGTGAGCCGTATATTCCCCTTCCTATGTTCACACAGTAAGTTTTCTCTCTCTGGTGGTTGGTGGGGGGAGCATTTTCTTAAGTTTATCCATTTCCTGAGCTTGTCTCTCCAACCTGTTGAGTTTATGCAGGATTCTAATTCTGTGTTTATCGTATTTATCCCCTTCTCCTCATGCTATCTCAGATATGATCATTTTGCTTTATTTATTCTTATACAAGTGATTCCTAAAATTCATGGCCAGATCACCACTGAGTACAGAACCCATCACATTCCCTAATCTCTCTCTGAAGTCTAGGAGCTGCTGAAACAGAGAATTAGCCTGTGATCTTCCTCGGTCCCTAGCTGAATGGGCTTGAATAATTCCTTTTTATTCTCTGGGCTTCTATGTCCTCCTCTATGATCTGAGATTGGGCAAAGTAATCTCCAAGGAACCTTTAAGCTCTACTCTTCAGATTCAGTGATTCAAAATCTATAGGCCCTGAAGCATCAAGAGAATAATAACTCAGAAAACCTCAGCTCTTCCTCAGCTTGAAATCATACACATCTGTGACACAGACTCAAAGGATGTGTAATGGTGTAAGGGACAGTGTTGATCCCAGAGTCCCATAGTTATTAGAGGCACTTGGATTCCAGACACCTGTTCCCTGGTCCTCCCCCTAGTAAAGAGTCTAGTGCCATGAATGAGAAGCAGCGTCAACAAGGAGGGAGCCCCTGAATCAAAGGTCAGGAAGTAACGAGATGCAGGTTGGGGTCTTTAGGTTAAGCAGCAGATGTTAGGGGTAGGGATAGAAGTGTCTGAGCCCAGTGATGGTTACAGGGCTGTTTATCTCAGAGTAACATCAGCACCAAGTAACAACAGCCACCTGTCCTAGCTCCATCTCAGGGAGTCACAACAGGATGCGGTTTGACATTTACCAGGTCTTGCATCTGGGGTGCCTGTGAAAGGCCCTGCCCCCACCCACCTTCTGAGCACCATGAGAACCACACTCACCACATCCTGCCCCCAGCTCTCCCCAGGCTGCTCTTTCTACCTAGGCCTCTGGTTAGCCCCCTGGCAGTGGAAATACAAGTGCAGAGAGAGGAAAGGGTCTCTAAAGGGGAGTCTAGGTGCCTCAGCTCCACGTGCAGTGCTGCCCCATGGCTTCTACACCTGCTTGAGGTTATAAGCAAGACAGTAGTAAACGAAAGCAGCTGCAATAACTGCTCTGACCCAAATGGGTCCCTTCTGGTCCCACATCACTCAGGCAACTCCCTCCTCCCACCCACCTGCCCCCCCCCACCTCTCTCCCTCAACCTGTCCTCCCACTTCCTTCCACTCATGTAACGAGAGGTCTTAATGAGTCACAGGAAGGGGAGCCCCGGGTAACCAACACACTGCAGAACGGACGGTCCCTGGACGTTTGAGCTGGTGTCTGTGTGCAGCATGGACTGGGTTCCTCTAACTTTCCTTCTCCAGTTGTAAGGTCTATGGGATGGATATTTTGCATTCCATCAGGGGAAGAGATAAGGAAGAACATAACACAGGAGAGGGGCAGAAAGTCCCAAAGGAGAAAGTGGGAAATGAGCAGGTACATAACAGACCGAGCCTGCCTTGCCAAAGCCAGGCTGGTTAAACCAGTTTCTCAACCCTGGGCATTCGCCATCTTCCTCAAACTGTCTAAAGGCCCCAGAGTGTCAAATTATAAATCCCTTACATGGCTGAAATCCATGTGAAATGTCTTGAAGGTGTCCCTCTGGCCACCAGCAAGTGGCCCTGGATTTTCCATGTGCAAGTGGCCAGGGGATGAGATCTATGGAGAAACAGTTACCCTGGCTTATCTATAAACCCCGGAAGCTCTCCTAGAAGAAACAACAGCATCTTCTGACCCAAGGG